GCGATTCGGAATTGCGACCAAGTCAACCGAGACCCTGAGAATGTTTCGTTTTGACTGTCGATAGTTTGCGGACGTCAGCCAGAGAAAGGCTCTTTCCGGTACGCGGAAAAGACTGGCTTGACGTATATTGGTAGCGATATAGATGGGGGCTCTGTTTCTCGGAAACGTTGCCGATGGACTCGATACCTTGTTTGGGCCATTGCGTGCTCATTGAAGTCCCGGTCTCCAACTGACCTGACAGCCGACCCAGATCGTTGCGACATGGCCCCAACAACCCTTGACCAGAATGTATCACAGGGCCACCAAGTGTGGCTGAAGGAATGCCAAACAGGCAATCCAGTTGCTGACTGAGAATGAGCTGAGGCAGCTCAGTCAGGATTCCAAGGCCGTGCGGTTGCAGTAGCCCCTGATCAGATGAGGGAATTGGGATTGTGGTCAACCGGCCGACTCCACATCCCGTCTGTCGTGTACTTTCGTCAGAAGTTTGATATGCCCAGAGACCGAAGGAGCAGGGTGCGCTGAAAGACCAAAACCGTGTTCTTCCTGGAGCGATCCTCGGGAGCTACGGAAGATGAAATCATCCGTGCGCCATGTGTTTTGCCCGAGATGATGAAGTTGCACCATGAAGCATGAGAAAGGGGTAGAAGACCATCTTGACTTGTTAGTGCGGAAAATAGCCCGAGCCATCGACACGATTGCTTTCGCGCCATCTGATCACTGTCGCAGATGTAGATCTCTGCGTGGAGACGGTGATTGCCTTTGTCTTGGAGACGACAGCAACAGAGACTCAAGCAATGAGTAGGGCGCACTCGGGACGTGCCAGGTCCCCGCGATCCCTGCCGGGGAAATCCTACGGACTCGGGAGGAGGAGCGCGCACAGAAAGAAGGCTGGCTACGCTTGCCGCTGTCATCCCTGGCGCTATGAACTTGAGGAGCCATTCGATGCTGCTTGTTGGATAATGACTCCGGTGTCACCCACATAAGATAGCATTCAAAGGTAGAAGTATCTAGGTAAAGCAACGACACACTTCGGCCAAGTGTCGCACGAGCAAGAACTTGTGTTTGGTGTGGTTGGCTAACTAGTAACGTTGAGGTCGCAAGTTGCAGCACAGAGGGGATCTAGAACAGTTTTCTAGCGTTTCGCTCAACTTACTTTCGAGACTTGGAGATAGAGGCGTATTTGTTTGATGTTTCTGTGGGTGTCGTGGGTTTGCCGCTCGCGCCGTATCTGACCGGGGGATTTTGCGCCGTTGCCAGCGATGTTTTGCTGAACGATCCTAGTCTTTTGAGCCCCCAGTTTGAGGGCGATCGGCACAACTAGTGGCTCCATCCCATAATGAAAGCGAGGATATCGGCAGGGAAGTTGACAACGCTTCGATTCTCAGTTGAGGGAAACAACTGGAAAGGCGTTCTGAGTGAAAGCGGCGTCGTGGATAACAGAGAGGTGGTTGTCTTAGCTGTCTTGCATGCCGGAAATCTAGAAATCTCACGATGACCTGCAGATCCCTTGCAAGTGCATTTATGGGGGGCTGCATTCCACAATGTCAGGCTGCACCATCCTGAGCAAGGTGGTCGGTCCACTATCAACTTCAGGTTGCTGAAAGCTGCAGAATTGGGACTCGAGTCCCAGCAACGGCAAGGGTGGATTCTGAGGAGACGAGCTCGAGCCTCGTCCCGTCATTCGTACAGCAGCCGGACGGTTTATTAGCTGGCACCGGGCTCACGCTGGACACGAGCAGTTTGGCAGGCAGCTGTCAGCCGATTGGTAGGCTGCTTACGGCCGGCCCCCACGACGTGAGCAAGCGCACCGACTCAACGGCGACGGCGTACTAAGTATAGGGGAAGCGGGCTGCTATGTGGGAGACGAGAGGGACCCGTCCGTGGATGGAGCGATAATATCACATCTGAAGTCTCTGCGTGGATTTGAGGCCGGGGCGGATGCGAGTCGAGGTCGAGGATCGCCGCCGTATTGTACTGTTCCCAGCCCAGCCCCTATTTGTGCAAATTTGCGCCAATGGAAGCGGCAAAGCGTCTCGTCGACAAGGTCTGGACGACGTATGTGTGTGCCGTTGCTTTCTGCGTCTCGATGTGGTAGTCGTTGGCTGTTGACTTGTGAGTTGAAGTGAGTCGTCATGTTTGTGGTGTTCGTGCAAGAAGCCTCCCGCGGCAACGATGTTCCATGTTTGAGACAGGCACGCGTGCGAGGCCTGTGACCTCGTTGGTGTCCCCTAGGAGCTGGATCCGGGGCGAGACTAAGGCGACTAACGGCGGTGGTTTGGGCGAAGGCGGCGTTTGGCTCTGGACTTGTAGGCAAGGCCATCCCCTATTCCTGCTGGACCAACCAGCCTCCTCGAGTCGTCTAGCTGCAAATGGTTCGTAGGACCCCTGAAGGCGTATTGCCCGAGAGCCGTGCATCCCTGGCCTCGCAGCTCATTTGTCCAGATTAAGGTGCTGGACTTCCCTGCAGATTCCCCACCAAACCGCCTGGCCAGTGGCCTTTTTGCTTTCTGGACGGTGGAGACTCCGGTGCTGTCTGGAGGAAGTAGACGAAGACGAAGCCCAAGGCAAGCTTTCTTGCTGCTGCTGCTGCTAACTGCTGCAAGAGCTGACTGGATAGCTCCGGGGCGGCGCGACATCTGGCGGGAGCCAATGTTGTTGTTGTTGCTCATGAGAACAATCTCGATGGTGGCCTGAAGGATTTGGGTATCAGTGAATGGTGGAAAGAGCCATCTGATATGGCTCGGGATGCGTAAAAGCAGAGAAGCGAGATGGTCTTTGATAGGGCAGAGCGAAGGCGGTGTGCTGCTGGTAGGGGATACTGAGGTTGGGCCTCTGGGATCCGGGGCTCCAGTCAATGACGAGCGCTGTTCAAGATTGGATGTTTGCGGTCGGTCACGGTGGCAGGCGCGCCTACGGCCCGCAGCACCTACGCAGTAGGTATCCACGACGCATTTATTGGCGTTCAACGGGTGGTCCGCTGTGGTTCGTTTGTGGGTGTCAATGATGCTTGGGCAGCTCTAGCTGGCTGGATGGGTCTGGCTAGAGCCACTGCTGGACCACATGGGCGGCGGCGAGGAGCCAGGGCTTGACCAGGAAGCAGTGATGTGATGGTGAAATGTGAAATGTGCCGTGCGGCTTGCATGTACAGCAGCGGTGCAGGAGAGGAGAATAGGACTGGGATGGTGATGGTGTCCTTGCGGATACATGCACGCGGTGGAAGAGTCCTCGTGTGGAAGGCAGAAGCAGAGCCGTGAACTGTTTGAGATGAGGGGAGTGTCGTCAGACGACGGTGGTGATGGGAAGCATCCATCGGGTGTAAGTGGTGATGAGAAAGACATGTCTGGAAAAAGGGCCAAGCTGCCTTACTTACTACCTGGTACCCAAGTAAGGCTTGTCATGACATGCGGGAGACATGGAAGCTCCAGCAGAGCTCCAGTATGCGGCAGCAACGAGAGAAAGAGCTCCGTTTCTTCCCAACAGGCATGGAAAGAAAGGCAATTGCGGTGGCCGACGAGTGCAAATCCTGACTGACTCCTGAGTCCTGAGGTCCCGAAGAAAGACCTGAGGTCCTGAGGACACACCACACACTCGCTCGCGAATCCCATCCTCCATCCATCCATCGATGGATACTTTCGTCTTTTGCTTTTGCATTTACTTTTTAGCTCTGTCCCATCCTGCCCCTTCCCGTCCAGTGCCGTCTTGTCTTGCCCCAAGTCGACTGCGACTCTCTTTTCTTCAAGCTGGATCCGATCGACTGGTTGGACCAGACTTTACCTTTTGAGGCACTTCAGATCAGACACACACCTCACCCGACGAGGAAGTCTTCTGTTGCTCGCGCCCCCCTCGCTCTCTCCCGCATTTGTTGACGACACACTCCTTCTCATTTCTAATACTAATCAAACGCTCCCGCACGCTCTCTGCCTCTTCCGTTTCCTCCCACTCTTTCTCCTCCTCCATTACTTCCATCTCTCTCTCGCATCCACCGTACACTTTACACCTAGAGCGCCGGCGTCCTCGTCCCCTCCTTGGAATTCTTCGATTCGACCTCCCACGACTTCTTATACGTCCGCATCCCGCCGACCTGCAGCCACGATTACTACCAAAGACCTTGTGTCACTAATACCCAACACACACGCACACACCAACACCAACACCGCACTCTGCCGCACACACCATACGCCTCACCCGAATATACAGGACGGCCAGCGAATCCCCTTCCTAGGACCAGACGAACGGTCACACACGCACATACAGACTTGCCGGCGACTCTCTTCATGGACAACCCAGACGGACGAACCGTGTCTCACACAATTGCTAATTCCTAATTCACGAAAGCATCGACTCACAACAGTCGCGGACTCTGCAGCACTCAGGAGAGAAAACGGGAGGCCTGCAACAAGAAAGGATCCGAGCGAGACCGTTGCGAGATCCGGGAGACTCAGTTGTCTGTTTTCCCTCGGAAACAAAAGAAACGATAGCCCGAATCATAAATCGACAGCACCTCATCCCAGGATTCAGAAAAGAAAAGAAAAAAGCAACAACCCTGGCTGGAAAAATAATAACGATAACGGTGTTATCAGCGACGGGACGGAACAGGCGCAAACGCACGCACCACTCAGCGACCGTCGAGCCAGAAATTGACCTAGCTTTCGCCGGGTGGATTCCCGTCCACTTCTACAGGCCTCGACAGTAGGTGGTGAACTGGGGTTGGTCAGAGACAGACAGCGAAAAGGGTCACCCCCAGCACAGCACCCGGCAACCCAGCACCTTGAGGTGCCCTGCAGGCTTGCAGAGAGAGAGAGGACCTTGCCAGCACACCCAGCAAAGCAAAGCACAGCACACAGCACAGCCAGCGCGCGCAAACCTAGGAAAAAAGAGACGACCAGGAAGGGAAGGCAAAAAAAAAAAAAAAAGAAAAAAAAAAAAAACCACAAGCCCTGGTAAGACGCGCAGCAGCAGCACCCAGAAGCGAACGAAAGCGGACTCCCAGCGACGCGAACATGGCTACGGCTGGTTTCGAAGCTGCGGGCCAGGCCCCGACATTGAATCCCACATTGTCTTCTTCTGCTTCAGCATCCGCATGCGCGTCCGCGTCCGCATCCCCTTCTTCCTCGCTGTCTTCGCAGAGCATTGTCTTCCATTCTCTTTCAGACACGACAAACTCCCCGGCCGAGTCGCCCAACCCCAACAACAACCTGCCCTACCACGCGCATCGCCAGAGCCACAATTCCTCCAAGCTACCGGCCTTTCGATTCGCCGATTTCAAGAACCAATCCCCACGCCTGGTGCTCCCCTCACTACTGCAGCACATCCCGCCCTCGCCTGTGTCGCCTAAATCGGCTACCGACGAAAACCACTCCGCCACTGCCACGGTTACTGACACTGCTACCGTAACTGACATTGGCATCGGCCTCACTGCTGCCACTGCCATTGACACTGCCAGCGCCAACCCAACCACAACCGCAACCGCGACCACCACCACCACAACAACCCCGACAACCGTAACAACAACGTCAGAGCAGCCACACCTCAACCACAACTCGCCCGACACCACCACCAGCCCTCGCCAAAACACCCGTCCGACCTCACTGCGACTTGTCCACGATCGTCGCCCTTCTTACCGCCAACTTTCACCTAGAATTTCGAGCCCCATCGACGAGTTGCCCGAACCGCCGCCAAAATTGAGTCCGCGACTGCGAGCATCAACATTTCAGACCGCCTCGCATTCCACTCCCGCATCCCCAGCCATCTCCCCTCGGCGCCCTGCATCGTTTCCCGACGGTCCCGTCATCGTCCAGGCTTCAAACGTCGGCGTCGCAGAGTCAAAGACTTCTGGCCCTACTAGGTTGCACATCCGCAGGACGGTTACTTCTCGATCTCGCGAGTCAAATGTTACCGATACAGCGATATCGCCATTAGACACCCATCACCCGCATCCCTCCGACGCAAGCGACGAGGTGCTTTCTCCTGCCGACGGACAAACAAAAGACAGGTCCCACGGCCAGCGCGAATTGCTGCTCCCCAAAACATTGCAGCAAACGAGCCCGACAGATGAGCGACGCCAATCCGTAACGTCGCGACCACCCGTCTCCTTCAAAGCCCCCTCCAACAGTACTTCCACCACTTCCGTTCGCGTCGCTCCCATCCGCTCCTTTCGATCATCAGGGTCTCGTCGGAGTCTGGGACTCGACAGCAGCACTTCCACCATGCGCTCCTTCGACTTTGGCGACGAATTCGCCGACTCGAACCAACGCGACCGAACTTTGCGCGCCCTCGAGGGCAGAATCGACGATGACTTCCGCAGAATGACACCACCGCACTCAGCTAGCCAGGCCGATGCCGACGACACGACCGGTGACGTCTTTATGAAAATCGCGAGACAGGAGCCAACACGTCGCGGCTCGGGTGATGTTGCGCCAGCCGAAGAGTCAAGTGCCATAGTAAGTTTTGGTCCTCTCCATGTCTGCGTTGTTGTTTCGGGATCCCCTTTAGCGCCAGTCGGACGCCCGTGCCCTCTGATGGACATGTCTGTTCGCTGTGTTATCAACCCGTCTCTCCATATTTTTGGTTGATCATCCCGCTCTCACTACCTTTGCCCGCTTTGCCAAAGCCTACCCCATCTGAATCGCCTAGTCACCGTCGTTAGCGCCACTTCATTTCACTCAGGTTCCGGCGACGCTTGCCGTGGCGTTCTGCGTGCGAGCATAGAGTTTTACCATGGACAACCGTGACCTGACTGACAATGACAAACAGGCCCGTGTCACTAGATTCTCCCATCGCCGGCCACTCTCGGCAGCCGTCCCATTGTCTTATCACCCAACCTCCCCGCCTCAAATCAGCCGTCGTCTCTCTGACCAGCAAGAGACATCAAAGAAGCGCGCACGACAGCAATCAGAAGACGAGAGCGCCGCAGAACCCATGGCTCGCGCGCTGGCGTACCGCCCCGGATTGACTCGAGACCGCCCCTCATCAGTGCACCCGGCCGAGGACTTGGGTCGCTCCAAGACCTTCCACTCTGCCACGCGCTCAACCGTCTCCGCCGCCAACACACCTCGCTCATTCACCTTCCAGGGTGTGGACACACCGGAATCATCACCGTACTCGCCCTCACAATACGCGCGCAGGCGGCCTTCCTTGACCGACAGCAACGCAGGATATGCTGCTCGCAGTTCCGCATACAGGCAGTCCAACTTGTCCTTTGGCCAGGCACGCACGTACAACTCATCGCCATTAGTGCCGAAGATGGAGACACCGCGTACGGGAACCCACCAGCAAGAGGCTGCAAACGGAGTGGAGGGAACCGAGTCGACGGCGACCGCATCTACAACCGCACCTTCGACAGTATGGGATGAGCTGGACGATCTCAAGTCGAGAATTCACCGGTTGGAATTGACGGGCAAGTTGCCAAAGACTTCAGGTGCTGCGATGTCGCGTGCTTCCGACGAGCGACCCCCCACCGCTACCAACACCACGATGTCCACGTCGCCCAAGAGAACGTCCGGCAGCAACCACCCCAAATCGGACGCTATTAGCATTACATCATCGCAGCGCGAGGCCCACCAGCCAATTTTGCTCTCTGCTGTTAACAAGTCGAAGCCATTCCTCAGCGATGAGGTAGCACGAGCGCTCGAAACGGCTGCCACTGAAGCACTGGCGCTCGCCAATATGATGGGTACGGCAGGCCAGCCTGGACCTATTTCCAGTGGAGCCAGCACGATCGGCGTGGGTACCAACTTGACGGATCGCCAACTGCGACGCAAGGCGGATAGTATCTGCCGGAGTTTGACGGAGCTCGTCCTGGCCTTGAGCGAGGAAAGCGCGCGTGAGAAGACCCTCCAACTGACGGTACCGACACCCAAGGAGACGACGACTCCTTCTACACCAGCTATTGATAAATCGTTCACGGGGGGAACCGGATCTTCTGCGGCGTCAGGAGCGACTGCCCAACAGCGTCCAACCGTACCAGAGCAGCAGACCTTGCCGAAACCCAGTGCGGTTATCACCAGTCCTAGGGCTTTATCCAAGTACGAGGAAAGACGCAACACAATGCTCAACACCAGTGCTCTTCAGAGCCCAAGGTTTGCCCTGCCGCCTGGCACTATTCCCTCCACGCCGGGAGAGAAGACCGCGCACCGCAAATCGTCCTTGTTCATTGGCCGAGCTCGTCGGGGCGCGTCAGAGGAACCCGAAGATGGACGACGGTCTTCGCTGCTGCTGAGGACGAGACGTGCCGGCACCGAAGAGCCCGAGGACTCGCGTGCGCTTGTCCGCCAAGAACCTCGCCAGGAAAGCGGCCGCCAGACGTCGCTTCTCCGTACACGCCGAGGAACGATTGGCGAGAACCATGATGACGATGAATCGCCGCGCTTCCGCGCCCCGTCACGGGCAAACACCGAACTCCAAACACCCGGCCGATCCGTATCCCACACCTACCACCCCAACACGGCAGCAAACGAAGTGTCGTCGCCTGCCTCCTCCGCTCTCCCCCGCCGGCGTTTCGGCGCATCCGCCATCACCTCCCGCCTGGTCGCACCCTCTACGCCATCTCTCGCCACACGTCGCTATCTGGAGAGAACTCCAGAACGGGAGGTCCCTAGCTCAGCTGAGAAGCCTGAAGAGCGCGCACAGCCGACTATCCCGCAACCGCGTCATTTTTCACTCAGCCACACGTCCTTGTTGAACAGGGCAAGCAGCATCAACCGCAGAACCAACCGCGACAGCACGATTACGAATACATCGACTGCTGCTCAGGCGGGCAGCTATCGATAACGCTTGACGAATGACACCCACATGGATGGATGAATGTACCATTAGATCTTTTTGTTTTAAGCTGGCGTCAGTCTTGTTTGGCATAGGTTATACCGCATGGGCTCGGCAATCGTCACTTTGTACTTGTATGACAACCACGACAGACGGCCGGTCGATTGTTGTTGGACTTGCCGACTTCTTGGGAAGGTCGGAGCATTTGTATATCGAGCAACCCATACGGGAAACAAAACGTTATGGATGGGAGCCTCAAGGCTCCGGCATTGGTCAAAAACAGTCTCTTGATTTGTGACTCTGGCTGGCGTTTTGACCTAGGCAGACGTTGATATCATTCCGAGTCAGGTGTTTTGGGAAGGGGTAGAGCAGCTAAAAGTTAATGTATGTCTTGTTATTCTTCCAGCAATGTCGAGTCGTGAGACTCGGATATGCTTGTCAATTGAGTTCTGTTAACCGCGACGAGCCGCTGTCGGTTGCATTGTGAGAGGTACATGTCAGATGCGCTTTGTCTCCAGATTTCAACATCTCAACTTGGATCCGTGCGACGAAGGAAAATGAACTATTGGCTTTTTTATTCTCCGAACTCGTGTTGGTTGGTTGTTTTGAGTCACCGGCGACGGGTGAGGCTTGAAGTGAGCCAGGCAGGAGGGTTGAGCCAGTCAGTGTCAGTCACTGCCCGATGAGTTTTTTCAGCGGGCCTCTGAACCGCACCCCTCCTCTTCCGACTTCATCTCAACGTTACACCCTGGTCTTACAGTATATCTGGGTAAATCTCCATGAAAAGTCTGATCTCGAATTTTCTCAAGAAGACCAATCCGTTGTCCTTGAGACGCACCACAGTAGCGCCCCGAGTTTTCTTTTCTGAGCATTTCGCCACCCAAACAAGGCGGCGACGGGAGACGGCAACGGCGTTTGCGCCCGCTCACACTCACCAACGAATTACACCCAAACCAGCAACCGCTTCACCAAGGCAAGGGCTTGGAAACATGGCTGACGGATTTGACGAGACGGCCGCGGCCGCGGTTGAAGACAGGGCACAGCAGAGCCGCAGGGGAGGACGTAAGGGCGGCCGTGGAGGAGGCGGCGGCGGCGGCGGACAGAACAGAGAGGTCCTCGTGTCCAAGGCCCTTTCCAAGCTCCTGCGGCACCAGGCGGAGAACGCGGGTATCAAGCTCGAGGAGGGCGGCTGGGCTCCCTTGGACAAGGTGGTGAGTGCATTTTGACGGAGGCAGGTGAAAATTCAGGGAGACGCTGACGCAGGGTGCATGAAGCTCGCCTACGGCCCCGTCAATTCTTTAAAGGTCACGTTCGAGGACATCAAGGCGGCGGTCTCGACGTCGGACAAGCAGCGCTTCGCGCTCAAGCCGAACGAGGCGACGAACCCGGCGCTGGACGAGGGCTCGACGGACCCGGCACACTGGCTTATCCGCGCGAACCAGGGGCACAGCATCAAGCTTGACTCGGCGGCGCTGCTGACGCCCATCACGGCGGAGAGTATTCCGGAGGTGGTCGTGCACGGGACGTACTTTGCGTTCTGGCGGCAGATTGAGGAGTCGGGCGGGCTGCGGCGGATGGGGCGGAACCACGTGCACTTCGCGACGGGCCTGCCGACGGACGAGAAGGGGGTGGTGTCCGGGATGAGGCGGGACGCGGAGGTGCTTGTGTATGTGGACGTGGAGGCGGCGCTGGCGGAGGGGATGAAGTGGTGGGTGAGCGAGAACGGGGTCGTGTTGACGGAGGGGAACGAGGAGGGGTTTGTGCCGTGCAGGTTGTTCAAGGAGGTTAGGGGAAGAGATGAGGCGGTTGTTGGGACGCTGTGGAGGGATGGGCAGAGGGTTGCGGGGTTGCCTGAAGGGTTGAAGATGAGGGCGCCGCCGGGGAAGGGGGGTAGGGGCGGACGGGGTGGGAGGGGACGGGGTGGGAGGTCGTGATGCGGTTGATGATGAATGGGTTATGAGAAGATGAAAGATGCGCTAGACTGCGAGGGCTCACTCTGCGAGAACAAAACGTTGACAGCAGGCATATCAATGATGGCATTTCATCGTTGCGTTTGAGGCATGTTGCTCCTTGATGATAAGTCGTTCGACTCGTTGTGATATCCTGATAAACTCCTAGAGTATATACTGACTTCTCCTCCCTCAGTGTGAGCTCCTCAACTTACTCCCCAAGCATAGCCTTCCTCTTACGCTCCCTCTGGTCTTGCTTGGCCAACATCCACTCCAGAATCCCCTGCGCCATCTTCTCCCTCGCGGCTCTCTTGGTGTAGATCTTGCTCACGGAGCCCAGGTCTTCGGGGATGAGCGGGTTATTGTCAAACTCGGCCCTGCCGTTCCAGAAATCGCCCAGCTCGGGGTCTTCGGTCAGAATGTAGCGGGGGACCGGCAGGTTGAGGCGTGAGGCGAGCTTCTCTACCTGCTTCGTCAGTGGGAGCTCGGATATGGGCGCGCCGGCGGGCGTGCCTGGGGCGGAGGACGAAGCGGAACTCGGGTTGGATTTCACACCGGCGGCGGTCGTGGGGGAGGACGGCTTGGGAGGGGATGTGGTACGGGACGCTTTTGCTGCTTTTTGTTTTGGAGCCGGCGACTTGTTCGGTTTTGGCGATGGGGAGGATCGCGACGGGAGGGGCTCTTGCTTCACGCGCGGGATGTCCGTGATGGACATCGGGGGTGAGCTCGACGGGGCCCTCTTTGCCGGGACAGACGCGGTGGCCGGCGCGGGGACGTGAAGGACGGCGGGAGCGGGCGGGAGAGACGTCCGAGGGGCGGCGGCGGGTCCGAAGGGTGCAGGAAACTTGGGCAGCTCGCCGCTGGGGAGCATCTGGCCGTTGCTGATGAGCCACTCGCATGCGCACTTTGCCGCGAACTGTTTCGCGTCCTGCTTGCGCGTGAAGTCTGGACTTTTGGCGTTGGGCGTGGCCGGGTCTATGCCGTGGCCTGGACGGGGGAACTTGTCGTTCGTGGCGTCGAAGGAGACGAAGCAGGCCCAGCGGAGCTCGGGAGCCTTACCAAGACGCGGGTCCTGACGGGCTTCGTCTGAGAATGTCGCCTTTTGGGAGCGGCATTGAAGCCAGTCTGAGATTTTTTAGTGAGTTAAACGGAGATTTTTGCGAGGGGGGAGAACATACGGTTGAGCGCGCCGATCCAGTTCTGGCCGCCGAGGGTTGGCTCCGCGCGAGGCGGGGGCCGGAGGATGACTGCTATGGCGTTGGCTTCTTCGTCTGAGATGGGAGCTGGCTGGCCGTGTTGCGACTCGAAGGCCTCCTTTTGGGCGATCCAGGATTTGAGGGCTGCCCAGTCCACGCGCGGCACCGGCGCCGTGGTTGGTGTTGAGTTTGACATTGTGGGATGTTGATGAGTGAGGGGCAGATTGGTGGCCAGGGAGGGGTTGGTGCTATGCCGACGGCATGGACGCTGGGTCTGGATTGTCGCCGAGAATGGGATTTTGGAGGCTGCGCGTAAATGGACGGGAGGTGCGCCGCGTCTTGATGTTTTGTTTGCCAGGAGAAGTGAGAGGTTTGATGCGGTGGAAATGAGATGTGAATCGGGTGGGGGGCGGCACCGTGAGATGTGTATGTGCTCTTGCTTTGTGGCAGAGGTTCGGGAATTCCTGCTGGAGGCCGGCAGGGCCACATACACCTTGCGACTGCTTATTGCACCCGCCTGCGGTCGCTGGATACCTAGAAGACAAGAGTAATCATTGAAAAGTCATTCGTCGTCGCGGGAGAAGGTTTCGCGTTGTTCACGTCTACTCTTGTTATTTTGAGTTCATTGAGGTTGGGATGAAAGAGGATCGGCAACAGGTCGATGTTGGACGATTCTCAGCCGATTGGCTGCGTCTGTAGCGGGCAAGCATGGCCCTGCGACGAACAGATGCTGCAGATGATATATGCACTTCTTTGGCTGTATTTACCGCTATCCCATACACTTTTAGGGGGTATACAAATTACGACCGTAAACGCTCAACACCATGACCATTTCCCTATTTTACTCGAAGAAGCCCGTGCCGTCGTCTTCCTCCTCTTCTTGCTGCACAGGAGCCTGCCACTTCCTCGCCTTGCCGCCGTCCTTCCAGTTCACTGCGCGATCCTTGTGGTGGTGGTGATGGTTCTCTGCAGGGAAACTGGGCTTCGTCTTGTTGGCCGCCGAGAAGTTTTTCTTCGCAGGCTTCTTTGGCGCGGCTCCGGTATCCGTCGGCGACTTGCGGTCGCGTAACCTGTATAGTGCCGCCTCGCCCTCGGGAAGGACCTTTTCAATCGTCGCCCACATCTTGGGGCGCTCGGCGTGCAGGGCGCGGAGGGCCTTGGGCTGCTTGAAGGACTTGTCGTCCGTTTTCTCTTCCTTCGCCTCGTCGTCTTTGGGGGCATCCTGGCTCTTGTCCTTGTTCGGGTATAAACTCTCGTACCGCTCCATCAGGGGGAAGAAGCGGGCATAGGCGACGTCTACTTCGGCCACGTGGGCTTCAGCCTCGAGGCGCTTCTTCTCGTCTGCGTCGGTCGACTGGGTGATTTTCTTGCGGAGTTGCTTGAGGAGCCGTTCTGCCTTTTTCCGCTCTGATCACAACACGAGTCAAAAGTTTGCCCAAAAAACAGATGCGGAAAAGAGACACCTACCGAAGAACCTGACCATGTGGTACTTTTGAATCATGTTGCTCCTCCTCTTCTTGAAGTCGCGCTCATCCACCTTCTCGGACAGCGCCTCCAGCTCCTGCTCCAGATCGTTCCGCACCGTAGCGGGCAGCTCCTTGCCGCTTTGCAGCAGTCTCCTGATTGTGCGTGCGCGCGTTCTGTTCCATGCCGGCGTGCCCTCCTTGGCCTTGTGCTTCTTCTTGGTGGCGCCGGGACCGGTTCTGGAGCGTTTCGAGTCGTGCTCTCCGTCGTTGTGGTCTGAGACTGGGGAGCCGTCGCGAGGAGCGTCGTCCATTGCGACGTCCGAGACTTCGGAGTGTGAGCGTTTCGTGCCCATGGTTGTTGTTGCGACACGGTGGGTAGGCTGTTGCGTGACTTGGGCTGGGATAGAAGAATGCGCGGTGATGGCTTCGGGGCATGTCTCTTTGGTTCAAAAATTTGGATCGTTATCGAGGACTGGACGTTGCCGACCCCACCCGGCACTTCTTATCAGCACCGTTTGGGACTAGCGTGATAATGAGCCGCTCGGACCAATGACAGGTCCCAATCACAACTGCTCAATGAAGCTGTAGCCCAAGCTCAGTGAGTTCACATATACACACTCACAGCGGCTTCAACTTTGCGACAGAAGGAATTGAACCACGCATCTTCGACCATAATAGCTTGCAGCGGTTGCATAATCTCTCCGCGATAATAAGAATCTGTCAACAACGACACTCATCGGTCTCACTCACGACATCTCATCCCACCTCATTAGCCTGCCAACTGCCTTGTGGGTCGTGGGAATACGCAGTACACATCGGTGGCTGGATTGGGGCGAAGACAAACGCGATCCGTGACAGGCACGCCGTGAGGTTCAGGCTCGCGTGGTCGCCATGGACCGCCCGGAGCCTGGGCTCATCAAATGGTCGCAAATCCCCGGCTACGACAGCTTCATCCACATCAACCTACAGCACCGCGTCGTCCAGCTGTACGAGCCCAACGGCCTTGCACAGCGGAGCAAGTTCGACTATGAACGGCTTTCAAAGCATGATGACTTCCCGACCCTGACGACGTATGACTGGTCTCCCACGGTCCCAGGCCTGCTGGCTGTGGGAACTCAGACGGGTGTGGTCAACCTGCTGAGGATGGACGACAACTCCAACGCCTACATCGAGTTGGGCCTTAAAATGACAAGAACGTGTCAGGCGGTTGCGTTTAATACCGAGGGTTTGCTTGCGGTCGGTTTGGATCGTGTGCGTATGGATCAGTGCCTACACATATGGGACGTCAACCGCCTGTCGTCGATGGACAAGTCTGCCAAGGGATTCTCCAAGGATATGCACTCTTTTACGGATCCTGCGTACAGGTTGGAGCCTAGTGTCTCTGTGTCGAGTGTCAAGTTCTTTGAGGACAACCCAAAGACATTGGTTGTTGGAATAAAGGCTCAAGGATTACGCATCCACGATCTGCGAGGTGAGATGTTGGATCTCAAATGCCATAGGTCATTGCTAACATCGTCTATAGAACCGAACATTGGTGTCGTCACGTTTCAGACCAAATGCAATAACAATTTGGCAATAGACTACGCTGATCAAAACTACTTTGCTTCGTCAGCGCTTGACCAGCCGGGCATCATGATCTGGGACCGTCGAGCAACATCCCGCCCGGTTGCTTCTCACTCGTATCTTGGCGCAGTGGATGAGGACGAGCTTCCATGGGGTGGTGCACTCAGGCTTGACAGGGTCGTCGACTCTGACGATGACCCGTCACTGAGCGAAAGCAAGCACTCGATCGTCCGCTCTTTGCGCTACTGTAGAGACCACCGCGGTCTTTTGGCTGTGTTGTCGCGCACTGGGCAGTTGAAGGTCTTGAAGACAAACAAGGAGCTAACACCTCCCGACATGTCTCTCGAGGGAAGCCCGGAGCTTTTGGAGGTTCACAAGTCTTACGACATGGATGTCCAGTATGGTGATAGCGGGAAGAAGAACGACCGGATCGTCTCGTTCGATTGGGTCACTCTGGACTCAGCTGTACTACAACCTCGATTGGTTGTCTTGCGCGCCAACGGAACGTTTGAGATTCTTGAGCAACCATCATATACGTCCGACTACTTGTATAAGCTAACGCCATGGCAGCCGCCTCATCGCGGCCTTGAAGGTACGTTCCCTAATCATACGGAAAACATCTTGCTGATGTGGTACAGAGAGCGGTCCGTATCATAACATCATGGAGTTTGAGCCATCACAATCCTCCGACATGCTAGGACCGTTATTCGTCGAAGAGGCCCTCTCAGATATAGCTATTTTTGGACCAGACAAAGTCGATGTCCAGACTATTGTCGACAAGACGCTACAGGCCAGATTTTCTGCGGCAGACCTCAACAGTAGGTTGATAGGAAACAACGAACGGTCTCCGTCTGCTCTTGACAAGTCCAGGACTGTGGCGGAAAGGATGCGCGCGTTGCGCTCTGATTTGAAAGAGAAGGCGAAAGAGTTGGAAACAAACGGTGCAGAGTGCTCGAATCTGGAAGAGTCGATAAGCTCCCTGGCTCAGCTGTCTCTCCATTACGACGGGCCTGTGTCTTGCCGCCACATGCATGAATCGCTACTTTCTCTGACCCTCAAAGCCCAAAACCTATCTACCGAGTCGCAGTGTCTGCTAGACCATGTCATGCTTTTGCGCGCAAAGGAGAAGTACTTATTTGACTGCAATGTCAATCGGGCAGTGGTTTCCGATGACCCCTGGCTGCGATACATGTGGGATTGGATTGCAGGTAGGTCGTTGCGTCCCCCTGATGCTTCAAAGCTAACGATGACCAGACGCGGAGGACGCTGCCCAGGACGGGGGCATGAAGTTATCCCCTTTGGACTTGAGTTACATGGGTGTCTGTACAATTTGGTGTAATGATCTAGGTGGGTTATCTACAATAGTGGATGAAGACGCTGTCACTGACGACGAGCAGGCCAGAAGCCATCATCGAGATTACCTGAGGCATCGCCGATGCCCGAGACAACGCTTTGGGAGAAGACGATTGGAAGCATCTGCAAGAGACGTAAACTGCCAAAATACGAGGGTACTCAGACCAAGAAGCCATTTCACAGGCAGTTATGCTTGGATATTTGCGGATGGGGAGATAATGCAGCACACGAGGCGAGGGGGGCTACACACGACCCAGGCGAGGACTATCCAACAACGGCTCACACCATGGCGGCGGCTCGAGCTCTCTTCAAAGGGGAAACCCAGGAGGCGATTCGAATATTAAAGACGGCGAGCGTGACGCACCCAGAGCTTCTCTTCGTGTCGCTCGCGCTGCAACTCATCGGCAGGAGTAACAACAAGCTCAGCAAGGAACAGCTGGACTTTGACGAAGCCGTTGCGTCAAAGACGGATCCGTACCTCAGGGCAATCTCGTCGCTGATTGCTACAGGGGACTGGTTTGCCATTGCGAATCAGAAGTCGCTGCCTCTGTCGGACCGCGCATACGTGGCCGTCAGGAACTTCGACGACGAACAACTCACCAAATGGCTGCATGAACAAGTTTCGATGGCAGTGGACACCGGAGACGTCGAAGGGATCGTTCTCACGGGTATCACGGACAGGCTGGTGGATATCTTCGCCAAGTACGTCCAGAAGTTCAACGACTTCCAGACGGCCACGCTGGTCATGTCAATATGCGCGCCGCGATACATTGACGACTACCGGTGCCTGGCGTGGCGCAATGCATACAGAGCATACCTCCAGCGTCACAAGGCATTCCTGCAACGAACCAAATTCGAGGTTGAAAGCACAAAGAAGAGCAAACGTGGGGGACGTCCGACCATCAAGCCGCCGTCACGGCAGATTGCGCTTCGGTGCGTCTACTGTGACGCGGAGACGACTCTCGCAGGGCAAGGGGGGCCTGGCGCGGGACCACCTCCCGGAGCACCCGACTCGCGGAACCCGCTCATGGCGACGAGCATCAATGCGGGAATCAGCTGTCCCAACTGCGGGCGTCACCTCCCGCGATGCGTCGTGTGCCTGGAGGTGGTTGGCGTTCCGAGATCTGACCGGCCGGAGCTCAACGGCGAGCCGGAGAGTTGGATGGCAGCCAACTTCCCGACGTTCTGCCTCAAGTGCGAGCATGTGCTTCATCTGGACCACGCCAGACAGTGGTTCACGAGACACGTCGAGTGCCCTGTGCCCGAGTGTCGCTGCCGATGCAACTTTCGAGCCAACCCGGAGCTTTCGTATCATTAATGACGGCGGGAGGAGGAGTCCAGAACGAGGCACGTTTGCGTGGGGAAGGCTGGAGACGCGCATGAGCAAGCTGTGTCTAATGATGACGGAAGTGAGGGGGCTCGTCGGGTTCGGTTCGTGTTTGGCAGCTGTTTGACGTGGACCACCGTTGAAGGCGAGGCGACGGTGGGCGGTTGGGCTTATCTGCCCATGTTCTGGCCAATGTTCTGGATGAGCCCGTCTTGATTTTACCGTGTTTGGATGGAAATACTTACGACATGATTGTGTATATGCTGCTGCAGAGTCACAGTTCCCCGGCGCGGAGAGGGTGTCGCGGAGATTTGCAACCCCTGTTCTTGGGTGTGCTTCACACGTTTGTACCTACCAAGTACCTTTTTCTTCTTTATTTATACTCATGTGCAGAGGCTAGAAGCCTGAAGGTGGCCGTCAAGCAGGAGCAAGCAAGCAAGCCCAAACATCGGGAAGCAAGCAGGGCAGGCTGAAGAGTGATGTGACAGGCGACAGACGACCTAAGGTACCCGACCTAGGTAGGTAAGATAGGATAGGCAAGGCAAGGCGAGGCGTAGGTCAGGGACGGAGTGGGAGGCAGGTTGGCAGGTAAGGTACGGAAGGGTGGGCTATCACATTCTGGTGATCGGTCACTCGCACTAGGGATGTATTCCAGGTTGCGGGGATCTTGACCGGTGGTGCAATGGGACGCTGGGCCATCCGTTTAGAGGTTTCCGGTGAATGCGCTGATTGCCAGCTTGCCAACCCGAGATGCGGCTTGCATGTTGACTGTGGCCAGTCCGGTTGGGTTTCGGGCAGTCATGTGTATGACAGGCGGCCCTCCCACGAGGCGCTGAAGGAAGGGGACCCACTTGGCGCAACTCGGTGCGCAGGGTGGTTCTTCCCCGGGGGAGCGATGGGCACCAGGGCAGGTATCGGCCTTGTCACTCACAGGTGTGCTGAGGGTGCCCTGTGCCCTGTGCAGACTGAGATGGACGGTGCAGAACGTCAACGGCGTGGAGCGCGGGCTGCTGTCAGCCGAGGTTGTTGGCGACTATTCGTCGTGCAACGGCCTACCTAGGCAAAAGCCCAGTGGCTTCCCTCCCCTTCCCGGTCCAGTCCCGGCCATCTTCATTCGGGGAACTGGTCCGGGCTCCTCCCACCTTCTTCTGACTTCAATTCTTCAAGCAGCCGTCACAGGGACCCTTCCCGCAAATTTACCTGCGGTGATTCACGTCTCTTCACGCCTGCCTGCCTTGCCTTGCCTCGTCTACCGTTGGACGGGCACCTACGGATACCCAGTCATCCAGTCCAGTCACCTCGATACCCTGCGCTTTCCAGTTTCATCTGGCAACCAACACCGCACACGCGCACGACAATCACGAGAAAAGGGACCCCATTCCTACCTTACCCTTCGATTTACCTTACTGCATCCGTCCTGCCTGCCGGAATTGACACACCTCATCTTACCTCACCTCACCTCACCTCGCTCAGTGCAGTCTGAGACGCGGCCGCCCATCATGTCACTCGAGGTAATTTACATCACTCGCCATGGAGTAAGTCTCGCTTCCCTTTTCTAGCTTGCCTGCTACCTACCTATCATCTCTTTTCTGTCATATCCGGTTCGATTTCCGTCTCCGGTCCCGTCCCTGTCCCCATCCCCTCTTCATTCACCTGCGACTCCGCCCTGGCCCTCACACAAGTCCCAATGAGGGACGAGAATGCCAATGTGGTTGCGGATGCTGTGCAAGGTCAAGTTCCCTCCTTGGGGACAACAGATTCTTCAGCCCCCCCCCCCGCTAGGAGCTTTGAACCCACGACGCCCGAAGCCCCCTAGCCCCATCCGGTTCTCGAACTCGACGATCTTGTCCCGAGGTGGTGCGGGTGTGCGTGTGCAGACGTTGGAAGTTGGCCTTGTTGGTTTTGACCGGAATCATCTCTGACAATAAGCCTTGGCCTTCATCAGTTCCGATCCAATTGGCTCGTCGACCCTTCAACGGGCAATTACACGGCCTCCATCCCATCGCCCACAGGAATCCCCTCGGATCCGGCCCTGACGGCACACGGCGTCGACCAGGCCAAGGAACTCGGCGCCCACCTCCTGACCGTCGAGCCTCCAATCGATGCCGTCTACTCAAGCCCCTACTACCGCTGTCTGCAGACCATCACGCCCTTTGTCTCCCTCAAGGAGGACGAAATCAACCAAGGCGCCCAAAAAGACGTTGGCGCTAAGAGCAATGCCACCGTTATTCGCCCCGAGCATGGTCTCTGCGAATGGTATGGAGCCGCCCCGTTTGACCACCCGACGCCGGCCTCGCCGGATGTGTTGAAGCCCATGTTCCGCCACCTCGATGCAGCGTATCAGAGCCGCGTGTTTCCCGCCCGCAAGGGCGAGACCATCGCTCAATTGCACGACCGCGTCGCCGCTGCCGTTCAAGCCATCGTTGAGCAGTGCGATGCCGAGGGCAAGCGCGCCGTCGTCCTGTGTTCACACGCAGCCTCAATCATTGCGCTTGGTCGGGTGCTTACCGGAAATGTGCCCGAGAACATTGATGCGGAAGACTTCCGAGCCTTCACCTGTGGGTTGAGCATGTACCGGAGAAAATCACCGTCTTCTTCGGAACGAGCGTCAGAAACCGATGGTAGGATTCGAATCCCTACGTCATCATCAGGCAATGGGTCTTTTCAACTGACAACCAACAGGTCCTGGTCCTGGTTCTGATGCTGGTGCCCCAGCAGAAACCACTTCTTGGAGAAATGGTCGGGGAGTTGGAGGAGGGTGGGTATGCGAACTCAACAGTGATTGCAGCTTCTTGAGCGGAGGCGAAGAGAGGGGATGGTAAGATGGATTTTCCCGCCTCCTGTCGTGTTGATGCCAATGAGGGACCTTGGGCTCATCCTAACCCATGTTGCGGTCCAGTGCCCACCGCTGACTGGGTCCCTCGGAGTCAGAAGGCCCATCCCTTTCTTTTTGGCTCCGGGCCCCTCGCGTAGGGGACTATGCAAAGTCTGTGCTCTGTCAAACGCTGACGACTTGCCGATCTACAGGAGATTTTCGGGCGACGAGTCCTTTTCCGCGGCCGAGAAGTCATCGGAGGTGGACGCTGGCGTTGCGCTCGGCGTGGTGGTGGAAGGAACAGTGAGACCCGACAAGGCCTCTCCCCACAGAGGAGCTGCAGGTCATCATCGCCTCTAGGAACAGGTTTATTGACGGTGCGCTTCGTCATTTGCATTTTCTTTTTCCAGAGGCGAGGAATTGGTCTCCTCACGGGTCGCAAAAAGGGTCGAGGCTGCGACAGGTCCTGGTTTCTGCGACCTGACCAGAGACCGATCCGCACCACCCGCCTTGCGGCCGATATACGATGGCAGCTAATGCCGGATAGACTTGCCTAGCTGCTGCGGGATGCATCATCTGCATGTTTTTGGCACGGACTGGGTAGCATCAAATCTGCGAGCCAGTCAGCGCAGCGGCTAGCCCCAAATCCATGACAAAATGACCCCTGTCACTTTCATCTCACAGCTGCCACACCATTTCAACGCTCCCAAAGTCCAACTTCAACGCTCTTTTGCCGCTTCGCCTTTGAATGCTGCCTATCGTACGAACTGCTCGCGAAAACCCTCGCTTCACGGCGAGCATTTACTGACCATCATCCTCGGCCAAAATTGGCGGCTGCAGCTGAAGAAAACCTCTCGTATCAGAAAACAGCCATTGGCGCCCAATGTCTATCCTGTGTCATGAGCACATGCAAGCCGACTGACGTGCTTGTACCCGGCGTCTCGCCGCTCCCACTCACTCCGTTGTCTGCCTAGGTGGCTCGATCCCTAGATACCTTGGGCCACCGAGAAGGTCTTCGTGGTGCTCACTGGCGAATCCTTGATCGGCTGATTCCTTATCATCACGCAGCTCAACAGCAGACATCCGCTCTTACCCGCCTGTTCTCAGCCTCGCGATTTCGTGGGCCCCTCCTGGAGCCCCAGGGGATCCGCACACAGGATAGAGCCCGCAACAGCAGAATGAGAGGCAGATCTGGTGTGACGCTGCGCTGAAGAAGGCCCGCTTGGCACGACCGTGCCGCCGTCATACGTCTCCACCCAACAAATCCCGTCCACTGTGGCACGACCAGTTGAAAATGCCCTCATCAGGGGCCGGCACAACGACATCGACTAACAAGATTATTGTACCTGGCTCAGATTCAACTACAGCTCGATATGTGATATTCCGTCCGCTTGGAAGCTTGAGCAGCGGCAGCATGGGGTCCGATCGCTCCCGGATGCGTCTTCCGACTAGCCTGCTAGGTGTCTTTGCCGAGACCCCAGGCATCATCCTCGGGTATGTCTCGTCTATCTCTCCCTAGCGGTGAAGGTTGACACTATTTGACTCAGCTGCTCAACGACGAGCGTTCCTGTTGAGATGGCGAGTACACGGGGCGTGTCGCCAGTGGCCACTTCAGCTTCATAAACACGCAACACCATCTTCCTGCCAAGATGCAGTTCTTGGGGAACTTGGGAACTCATGATCATCTCAGTTATGTCAAAAGAGCGGTGGCCGTAGGCAGCACGACGCAAGAGGTAGGAGGAGGGCCGGATTCGCGCTCACCGATCTTCTCACGAGATACTGTTGCCATGGACCAGGCCTCGAAGCGTCTGTCCTGACATGTGTACAGCCGGGGATGGTATACTTGCTTGAAACGCATGTGCCTTTCGCAGGGAAAGGAAAGTACATCCTTGGGTCTACTGCAGAGTAGGCGATGATGGAGGGGCGTGTCTGGCCTCTGCCAACCTCACTCCAGCCTCAAAGTACAAGCCGATGGCGGAAGCAGAGTACATGGCTCGCTATAGACGATTTCTTAATCGGGCGTCATGCTTCTGTAGATCATATCGACAAGCCGGCCGGGAGCTTGTCTGTTTCGGATTTTGACGACGGGTATTGGCTTGAAGAGAGTTGCAGACAGGTTCCAAAAGGAAACGCAGAAAAAGAACGACGGGTAGCCACACAAACGCAGGGCGAAGCCTTTTGGGTGGCATTATTGACAACAACGCAGCCGCTGGTCTAGCACAACCATCTGCAGATGTCAACATTCGGCAACCCAAGTTGAGGCGGTCACGAAGGAGGCCGAAAGCGGCCTTCAACGGCTACCATTCAGACGTGGCCTAAGAGCATAGTCAGGCACAATTGCGCGACCTCGTGGCTTGCGTTCCGTTGTCAACGTCGCTGCCGGTTCCAGAAATTGATATGCATCATGGCATTCGGCACGCGGGGTCGCACAAAGTTTCCCAAACAATCAATAAGCAACCCGGGTTTCAGGGCTGATTGGCAACGGGCGACACAAAGAACTGCTGCAAAATGCAAGTGTTCCGTCGAGCGATTCGCTGCGAAGTCAAGGCTGTGAGGTTTAGTACAGAGCACGCTGCTCGAGTTTGCAGAATCAACGCACCAGAAGCTATTGAAGGTGGTCCAACCAGGACCGAGCGATGACCAGGTTTCGACACGGTAACTCGGACTCTAAAGCGATTTTATCACCGCTCCGTCGTCAGAGCGGTAAAGAAAAGGAGACGGGCGAAGAAGTAGAAAAAGAAAAGAAGACATCATGGCGAACGCTCCTGCACCTCGCACTCGCCCAGCCATCGTCGCGTGGCTTTGACTAAAGGGAGGATGATCCCTGAATTTGACAGCGCGCTTGGGATGAATCTAGTGAAGAGTCCAGACGAGACAAAGGGTACCTTCTGGGAGTGGAATAAGAAAATCTGGGGTCCGTTGGCCAGACGGTGAGCCGGCCGGCAACAGGTTCGCAGACGCAGGCGCACAGGACGGGCGAATGTGGACAGGTTTGGATGCATTGCACTGTACCACAAGAAGACCGTTACATGCTATCCGTATGTATGCTTCTTGTGTGGTGTGGGGAGTCCGGGTCGGGACCCCCAGCAAGACGTGTTCCGCCATCCGCCGCCCATCTGGCCATCGAAATCTGTGGCGGCGACGCTTTCTTATTCCAGCGTCTCGAATCATGATGAAGATCCAGATGCGGTCATGGCGACCTTGCGCAAATTACGCTACAACGAAGTCAGCCAAGTGACACCCCTCCCCCCTGGTCATGGTTGACCTAAGTGTACCCAACCTTGCCAACGCTGCCAAAACTGGGTGTTGAAGAGGTGGTAGGAACCTGGGAACTTCAGCAGCAGGTTGCCGTGTGCGCCTTGCCCACCCTCGTCGGGCTGTCCCCGCAAGAATCGAACGGACGAGCTCGAGGCCAGACAGGACGGCGGCCCCACAAACCGTGTTCCCAGACCCTTGACGGGCGGCGGTAAGGCGGCTGCAGTCGACGACTACCGCGTGGTGCTTTCAATCGGCCGCCATTCATCGATCCCTCCGTGAGCGGGACCGATGTGGTAGTGTGATTATCGCTCTCAAATCAGAAATGCATCTCAGACAGAAACCTGAGTTATTACGAAGGGGGATTCGCCTGCGAGATTGCAGCTTTGCAGACTTGGTCGTCGTCGTGAGTGACTTTGGCTACTGGGTGTGTGGAGAGAGATCCGAGAAAGGAGGAGAGAGGAAAGCGAGAGGCAGGTGGCCGAATAGAATGGGCGTTCCATTCCGCAGCGCGATGCAGAATCACACCGACTCTCGACACCGGTAGCAGGCCACGCTGCAAACACATGGGAGTGTGTGTGTGTGTGTGGGATTCAGACGGATGTCATCGTATTGTACGGGATGGATGGGCGGCATGGATGGGCCAAATGAAACGGCAACGACAATAACAACAATGGGCGGCCCCAAGGCAAGCAAACTCGACAACCGCATTTTGTCATTTTGTGCAGAGCATGCTGGAGGCAGAGCCAGGGCCATGTCTGCTATTATTGCACTCGCTTCCAGAAATCCGGGACGACAATACTTCAACCGATTATGACCCTCATCTTCGAGTCCCAGGTCAGGCTTGGGAGGACCCAACAAGAGCCAATGACAAGAGCGCGTTGGTCCAACTGCTGATGAGGCTGGAGGTCGCACAAGGCAAAGCAAAGCACAGCACGCCGCACTATGGACAGATGATATGCTTGCAGCTTGTGTCTGCGGTTCTGTCTTTCTGCTCTCCAACGCACTGTCACTGTCACTGTCACTTTCACAGTTGCTCTGTTTCTCATCACACATTTCACACACTGGACGCTTGCTCGACCACTTCTTTCGGCTGGCGCCATCCCCACCAACCAATGGATACAACATGCTCCCAAGTGCATATTCTCGCTATCCACACCCCCTTTCACACCCGCGGCCCCGAATCGCCATGGAACAAAACCCAATGCAAAAAAATGAAAGAAAAAAAAAACACCCCCATCATCCGTTATTCGTCTCTGCTACGTCCGAAAGACAGTGGAACTCGCGGCTTGGCCCCCCGGGCCAGTACTACCCTTCAAACCCTCACGCACCCAGCTGTGACGCGCAGCTCGATCTAAGACTAGCGCCCCCGGAGAGGAGAATATCGACTGTGCAGCAGGTCCCGAATACCACCAACCTGCGGCCTGCGCGCAACGGCAGGACAACGGACGCAACGCACCTTGTAGTAAGGTTGCCCACACACATATTGATGTAGGGAGGTACACACAGCAGCACACGCTACCCGTCCTTAATAGTACCGCCTACTGCAGCTCCCCCGAAAGGTCCTCCTCCCCCTCTACATGCACCGTCATCTCGACTATTTGGTCCAAGGTCGACATGCGGATTAAGTCTCCCTTGCAAACCTGCAAAACCCTCACCTGCGCCCGCAAGTTCCTTCCCGCGGTCCATTTCCCTCTTCTTTGATCCTCACACCTCCCCGTCTCACAATGCATGCCTGCCATCTCACACCCAATCCTCGTCATTCCCAAACAGGTCAGAGCCTTGTTTGCTACCCGCCTCCCACAGTCCCCGTAGCCTCCAAAACCCTTGTTCGTCCACTCATAAGCAGGGTGGCGTTCCAAAGGTATACCGATAGACACTGAAAACGCATTACACAATTGGAAGAGGGGCGCCAGAGACCCAATTGCTCAAAGATGACGAACCGGGATCGTGTCCCCAGAGCGAGGCAGGCTCGGAGAGGAGGAGGCGGCGGAGAAGGAGGAGGAGGGGCACACCACACCACACACCTTTCGGCCGCCAGTCCAGAGAGAGACTCGACAGATTGGGCGACGTGCAGGATACATGCCATGGATCTACCCTTTGGCTGCGTCTGCACCGCAAGAAATAAGAAACGGCTTTTTCGCTGTCAAGAAGCCTCCTGGCGGAGCCCGATCTCCCTAGGCCCTTGCTTAGAGCTAATAGCCCTTAAACCTTGCTCGTCGTCTTCAACTCAAACACCCCCGGTCGTGTCGACTCGACCGACTACCAACCAAGCCGAACCAGGGTCCCTATTTTTTTTTTCTCTCCCAGGCGTAGATTAAGTGAGTGAGAGAGGAAGCGGGAAGACCAGGGGCCCAGACGACACAACAGAAAAAGAAGACGTATAACCTAGAGACAACCCAGATCCATCGCGGACGGGTAGAAGTTGATAATCAGGGTCCGATCCGTTGTCGATGACTCGTCTCGTCTCTCCTTTCCCGATCATCACCATACCTCGCCCCCAAACTTCCTTCACCATTCTTCATCGATAAGATCTCCGCAGGTGCCAGGTTCTCATTGCCCTTCAGACCTCGTTATCTTTGGATCACCTACCTCGTCGACACCTCACACAACCTCATCATCATCAACATCAGGCAAGATGTTTGTTGGCTTACAAGAACACCGGCACGGCATGGACAGACTGCCTCCGCCAAGCAGCCTCACTCAAGCCCGCAACGACGACGTCCCCAGAGTTCTCCCAAGTCTCTCCTCCTCCTTTGGCTACGACGACAGAATGGACGTCGATGTCCGCTACGACTCGAAGCAGCAGCCCCCGTCAACGGGTCAGCGTCACGAAGTGGAAGTCGCAACCACACTCGCCTCCATGGCATCTTTCAACCTCAAGTCACCCACGCTCCCCTCGCCCACACAAAGCTTCTCATCCGTAAAGTCAGAAGGTAGGGAAAGCCCTCTCTCACTCATGGCAGGAACCGACGGCTCACACGTCAAGTCTCAGATATGACGAGATCAACAAATTCTCAGTTCTCCTCGCCTGAACCAAGATCGCCAGATCTCCTTCCGTCGGTCTCCTCTCAGCTCTCCTTCACGTCCAAAGACGGCAGTTTCTCGTCCTCGGCCAACGCCCAAATCACCCTCCCACGCCTCCGCGAACTCGACCTCCGCCTCCCGGACCCGGAATTCGCCCCTCAACCGCCAAACTCAGCAACCTTCATGACCCCCTTGACGGGTCCCCGTAGGACCTCCCTCGAGTCCACCAACTCCTTTCCAGATTCCCGCATCGACATCCCCAGCCCAACCGCCTACCGCATGCCCATCCCGCCTATGGCCTACCCAGACGCCCTCCCCTCCCCAACAACAAGCCAGCACCAGCATCACCGCCACCCCCTCTCGCCCCCTATCGTCGGCCGTCGCCTCACGAACCGCCTCCCCGTGATTCTCCGCACCGGCGGCTCCTCTCCCTCCCGCCGCCCCCGCCGCTCTCCCACCGGCTCCCGCTGCAACGTAAAATACACCATCCAGCAGGTTGACTTCATCGACTACTTCCGCGTCGACCACCACCTCTCCTGGAAGGAGGTCGAGGCCAAGTACGCCTCCGTCTTCCCCGAGGACGCCGCAAAGGGCCACAAGCGCGGGCCCCAGGGGCTCCAGGGCGTCTACTACCGCAAGAACAAGCAGATCCCCGCCACGGACCAGAACAACCTCTTCGTCTTCGACGAGGACGACAACCCGCGCACCTTCCAGTGCGACGTCCGCGAGCAGGGCAAGAAGATGAACAACTCCATCGGCCTGCTCGCCATGCATCCCGAGCGCGCCATCACCTACTCCTGGGTCTCGGAGGAGCACAAGAGGCAGTACGAGAAAGTTGGTACGTTTTACATTGACTCAATCACAGATAGGGCATCCAAACTAACAGTAGCTACAGGTCGTGCGAGACAAGCCCAGCTCGACGCCGCAGAGCAACGCAAGAAGCGCAGGCGAGCCATCCAAAACAGCCGTCTCTAGCTTCTCTTCTCTGCATACTACTTCTTCTCTTCTCCCGTTGCGAGATTTTGCTTGTTTTTTTCTCCTGCGTTCTTACGACAGATATCCCAAAAACCCCCTCAATTCTGGTCCTCTTCTCCCTTTTCCACATCTTCACCCAAGACTTTACACCAGGGGACACAATCAAAATCACACATCACAAAAAAGGATACACAAAAATCAGGTTATTAGTGTGTAATCTCTAAAAGAGCCATCATTTTCCTTTTCTTTTTACCCCGCGAGCGAAAAGCCAAAAGCACAAAAAGTTATAAAAAACACACTGTGGTCGTGTACGATGATGAAGAATCAAGGGGGTGCTTGTTTTTGGCAGGGAGTTTTATTCCTTTACATCGTTTGCTTTCCCTCTTCTATTCGACGATCTCCCCGGTAGAGATTACAACGTTTCTTTGAAGCGCAAGGGTATGTTTGCTGGCACCTCTATAGGTCGTCGACTGACACCCTGTTTGCCTCATTCTTTTTTGTCTTTTATTGGGATGCCGAGACGATGAGGACGGGACTCATGGGAATTCACGGTGGGAAATGAAATGAAAAAAACCGGAGTTGCTACATTTGGAAGGGGAGGCAGGTGTCATGGGCAAAACGAGATACCAGGCGCGCGTCGGGAGGCCCGGGGGAAGGGCCGTGGTCAGCTTGTCTGGCTTGATTTTCTCTTATTGTCCGTTTTCAAACATCATCAAAGGGGCCCAACCTTTTCTTACATCTCAAGGGGCGATTCGCCTCAGGGATTATGATATACGAAGTGTGTTTCTCTGCATTCACGATGGTCTTGCTTTTCCTGCGGGGGGAGCGGAGGAGGTTTGGGGCGGGTTGGAAGCCCCGTCTGTACATGTCTCTCACGGGGTTGGCCATTTTTGCTGCCCTGGTTGTATATAGAAACCATCTTTCCCACCCGGGACAAGGGTAGGATAATAGTAGATTTAGACGAACACAGGGAGCGCCTCAAGATGCTCAATACTGAAAGACTCGAAACCGAACCAAGCGAACCTCCACTCCTTGTGTGCTCAGATGAATCAATGGGTCAGCTGAATGACTTTCCCTTTGTGATTTCCTGAAATGTAAGAGAGAACCCGCTGAGACTGGGTCTTTGATGGGAGTTGGGGGAGCAGATCATCATGCGGCTGCTTTGTCGTCGACGTCTGGGCCCGCCATTGTCCTGGGCTTGAACAATAGGGCACTGAAACTGGGAGAGGGCGTCTGGGATCAGGGGGTTTGGGGCCACGTTGGGAAGAAGATTATTTGGGGAATAGGAGGGAATAAGGCAGAACGGGGCGAGGCAAACACCTGTCTTCTGACGGCTGTCGTGTCTCGACCCCTGCATGCTGGGCGGAATCCCTCCCCCATCAGCAAGTTCAGTGCAGTACTGCTGTGTGGCCGCCTGGCGCAGGGCGTTCGGGCAGGTATGAACAGCATCTTCTTCATACGGCCGTAGCATAGTCATGGAGGGCCGTTGGGTGGCTTGGGGAGAGATGTGTATGTGGGATGAGTTGGCGATTGCTTGGTTTGGGGTGCAGGTTCGGACTTGATGGTGCCGGGGCGTGAAGCAGGACAGGTCTCTAGGAGATCAGGGCTGTGTGGTGAGGCCGTGAGGCTGGGTAGGCATTGGATGATGCGGGCAGCGCCTGTAGACGCACGGCGTTGGCGTTGGTGTTGGGGGAGGGAAGCTGACATGGCATTCTTCGGTCAGCAGGGGCGTGTGCTGGGCAAACTGGCGGCTGGAGGAGAAGACAAGAGATGAGGATGAGCCATGTGTGGTGGCTTGTTTCCTCGACGCAGGAACATGGGCTTTCACCGGACGCCCTATTGTTGTCGAATATTACAGGGGCACCACACTGGGGCAGGCAGGCTAACGAAGGGGTGTGATGCGGTGGTGATGAAGAGATGAAGAATCCTGACGATGGTTGCCAGTGTGGGGATGCGAGGGTTGGTTCTCGTGTTTGCACCTATCATGGTATCCAAACCATATTACGAACCAGACTATCGGAACTATCTGACCGTTAGTGGCGTCGGTTCAGAAGTGACAGACCGTTGAAAGCATAAAGAACTTGTACTACCGGGGGCACCGAGGGGCGTGTAGCAGTTTACAAGATAGCCAAAGCTGCTGAATTGTTTGCTTGTTTGCTTGCCTTTTTCAGCCAAGTAGATTGCTCTTGATGAAATCGGGAGGCCATGTGACGCATCCTTGGGTATAGGGTTTTCAGGGAGTTGGGGTGTGGTGCCACAGGCCAGACACAGACAGATAACGTGCCGTTAGGTTGGGATGCGTCCTCTTCAAGGTGTGTGCCGCAGGTTTGTCAAGCAGCACAGAGTTAACTTAGGGGTTGCCAAGTGTGTTAGAGTCGGGACTCCGGGTCGAGAACGACGAACCCCTGGAGAGGGTGTTTCCCGAGTGTCTTTGCTGAATTTCAAGCAACCCCTGTAGTTGTAGAATTCAAATTAGGGTTGTATAGGATAACGGATTCATGAAGAAGGGTGGATACGCTTGTTGTTAGTGACGATGAAGACGGATGGTTCTGCTGCGTGTTTGCTACCGTTGACAGGGTTGGGAGAGGTTGAATTTCTTTGGTCGTCTCCACTCGAGCAAGGGTTGTCGAGGAAGTGGTTGTTGGTTCCAGGTTGGTGATCCGGCCGCTTTGGACTGTGTGTTTTCCTCGATTAGCGTCAATGGCTTGGGCTCTCGCGTGTGGTGGCGTTGCTGAATGCACGTTAGTGACTGTTGTCAAGCCCGCATGGAAGCATTCTCGAAGGATCAGTTGGCTCGACGATGTTGATGTCTTCAGGGCTTGTTGGATTTGGCGTGCGTGTGCGCCGTTGGACGAGGCGACACCGCCCCCGAGCCCCAGGATATGGAATCGTGGCAGTGGGCAGATCTTGTTGCTTTCGGTGTGCTGTGGAACGGGGCACGTAGGAGGCAATGCATCTACTGTCCATTCAGATCTTAGCTGGGGGCCCGATTGATGAGATGTGGATTGCCAGAGGTCCTTTGAGGCGAATGAGAAGTGTGTCGGAACAGGGAGCACCAAGCGAGGTTTGCGCGCACAAATTGTCTACTGTTGGTTCCACGATGTGAAGTTGTCAGTAAACGGTGACGAATGTGGAACTCTGGACACTGATGCATGGGTAGCCACAAGCAACGTACCTTCCTGGCACCCGGCTCCAACAAGTTGGCTCCTCGACATCATCTGATTGTCACTAGACAGGGGAAGGAAAGATCGGTCTGGTACCCGTCGAAATCCTGAGAGCGAGCCTGGCAAGAGGCCCCGAATGCTCAGGTAGCAGAGACAGGTGAAGCACAGTATCAATATTTGCGGCACAGCATCGATAGAGCCTGCCATTTGTTCCAACATAATGCATTGGAGCCATGGAGCAGAGAGACGATGACCATTACCATAGCATTATGCTGTGTAGACTTCAAGCCTTCTAAGGAATTATGCAACGCGTCGTAACCTCATCATAAGCATGCCGCCACAGCTTTCCATATCGACTTCGTAATCGTTATGTGACTCTAAACCTGCAATGTGTATTTCATGCAAAAGGGGACTTCGACTTGCCCATCGGCTGTAGTCCAAAAATATCGTCCGACTTGACCGGTTTGCTCTGGTCCTCTGACTCGGCCACAACCTCGCCAAAGAGAAATGCGTTGCGCTCTCTGCTGATATTCCCAGAAGGCCGCTTCTTGTGGTTACCTCCTGAAGTAGCCTTGGGTAGCTGCGGCGGCGTTGCTGAGTGCGCCGACTGGTCCGGCTCGAGCATCCAAGAGAACGAAGACTGTGCGAGAGTTGATCGAGTTGGGATCGGCGGTTGAGGCCGCTGGACCTTCGGTGAGGGTGTTACAGATGCTGGGCTTGGCACCGACACTGATGGCGCCTCCGATGGCTGAGTAGGAAGGCTGTCTTCGGTGATCTCCATTGCATCAGGCAGAATCGGTTGCGGATCCGAAGATTTCGGCTTACCGTGTTCTTGAAGCGACAGAGTTGAAATACCATTTGCGACGTTTTCAGGGGCAGGCATTCCACCGAGCACAGCGCTATCGTCTGGTCCGATGTCCATCGGGGCCTCTTCTTTGATATCCTCGGATGTTGGACTTGCGATGCTCTCCAGATCCGGGACCTCGATGGTGGAATCCTCCAAGTACACCTTGACGAACTGGACCTTCGCGGCGGCGACTTCGACAAGTTCTAGGGTCTTAACCTTGTTATCCAGATCAGATGTAGCCAGAGATCTCAGACTAGAAACCGTCTCGTCTAGCATGTTGGCCAATAGTCTATTTCTTCTCTCCAATGCGGCCACTGCCTGGGCCGCCGTCTCGTCATTGAGCAGCTGCCTCGCCACACGAGGCGAGTAGCGCACGTCGTTAAGACCTTGCATGTTTCTTTTGATTTCGCCCATGGCATCCCGAACGGCCTGGTTAATGCCGAGCTTCTCGCTCCTTTCGAGCATGTTTTTGGCGGCACCTTGAAACAAAGCCTCCACGCCGCCTTGCTGTTGGATGAACCTGCCTGGGGACGGTATTGGGGAATGGGCTCCCTTGTTGCGGTGCCTGAACGAGGAGAATGCTTGACCCATCGGCGTCGATGGCCGCGAGCTACCAGCCGATGGCGTCGGTGTTGAGCTCGGCATCTTCCCCGTGTATTTCAAGATAAGTGACGCGCCACCTGACATATTAAGATGCGTTCTGAGGTACACTGCATCGTCCACGAACGTGTGTGGGCCATGGGGAGCTTCGGGGGCTGGGTATTTCAAGAGCAATTGTAAACAAACAGAGTAGTCTGCTTCGAGCACTAGGAGGTGTTAATTGAGAAATCACTGAAGGTGTGAAAAGACTTACGACTCCAGCGGATCCTAATGAGCATAGCAACGCAAATAAGATCGATCAAGTTCAGCGACGGGTCGACGGCAAACATGGTATCCCAGAGTACGAGGCATTGATCAAATGGGAACTCGCGCCCAAACAGAAGGCGGAT